ACCATTTTTGACTATAAAATTTGAAAACAAATGTTTTCTTTACAATAAAGTTACTTTTGTTGCATCTCGCTAGGACGCACCATTTTCAAGAAAAAAGCATTTGAAAATTTTATTCGAAAGTGTAAACAATAATTAGTAGGCCTGTGAAATTAGAAATTTTATTTTTTTTTCACTTTGGAAAACCGGTGACTAAAGAAATTTAAAAAAATATTTACAAAAATATGCCATCAGGACTTAACTTGTAACACCCTGTATCTCGAAAACGAAACGTTTTCGGACCTATGTTTATACGAACTTTTATTCCTATTTTAGGATGTAGATTATGCTGTTAAAATATGACCGTCTAATTTCGGGATACCCTGTATATACAGAAAGGAAAGTACAAAATAGCCTGTTAACAGGAAATTACATTAAAAAATATAAACAAACAAGAATTATTAGAATGCGTGCGAACATGGGTACGATGAGATCTCCATGAATTTAATAAAAGACATAGATATTATAGGTAGCTCTTGGTCCTATTATCAATTGCATGAAATTTGGCAGATAGCCTAAATAATCCCTATTTATAAGAAAGGGATGACTTAAATAGAAAATTATAGACCCATTAGTACGTTGCCATCCTTTCCCATATATGAGACCATGTTTAAATAAATGATTAACTTTAAGGTTACGATAAAACAGGTGAACAACGTCCAGCATGGATCTATGAGAAATAAATTAACCTTAACTGCACTATCTCAATTTGCCAATCAAGTTTTAACCATTATGGAAAATGATAATCTATCAATGGGATTATTCTTAGACCTATCAAAAGCGTATGATACGTTAAATTATGATATCTTGTTAGACAAATTGGATAAATATGGCGTAAGGGAATGTCATTAAAATGGATTAGAGAAATCAAAAAGTTAAATTAAAAAAAGGAGAAGAATAAATTATATCTGGTGATAAATATGTAGGTTTACGAATTCCACAGGGTAGTGTATTGGGACCACTTCTATCTGTGTCATTTATCAATAATGTAAAGGAAATAATTAAAAATGTAGACTGGTACTCTATAACAACTTATGCCGATGATACAAATATACTGGTTAAGAGTGCTAAAATAATGCAGTTGGAAAAAAGAGCAAGCCATATACTTCGTCCTTCGTCCTTTTTTAATAACATTTTCATCAATAAAAGCAGATATTCCGACAAAAGCAGTCTAATGATGCTGACAAAGGTCATGCAAATAATTTTTAAATGTTTCTATTTTTTACTGATACTTTATAAAAAAAAATTAATCGACAAGGGCGATGATAACAAATTTTTAAAAGCGAATATTAATCAACTTCTTATGAGTTTCATTTTCTGGGTCCAACTTAGAGAGAAGGTCTTTTTTATCACACGAATACAAAGATAATCTTTTTAAGTGATGCTTTATAGCCTTCTGGTCACAAAATATGCTGATAATATGGCTTGGATCAGTACTTACATTACTTTCAATCAAAGTGTTCGTTTCAGAACGTGAATCAAGATTTTCCAGCTGTACATTATTTTCGGGTAAATTTGATAGAACTTGTTCGACTAACGCAGGTATAATAGTTGGCTCTGGTATTGTAATAGGGTCAGGTATATAAGAAGCTGCTAGCCATGAAAGTTGTGGAATAGAAGATTGTCGCTCGATACATTATGTATCTAACTCAGATATAGATGAACATGCTGCTGATACATTTTCAGTAATATTTACCAAATTTTCTTCTGAAGCAGATTTGTCTGCAGTCATAGCTTTTGGAGAGAAATATTTTTTCATTAAACCTGTAAATGATTTATAACAATGTCTATGGTAACCACTTTTCATATAAATCAAATCAATAAATAAATCAAATGAATTTTAGGTTATATTCCTTTCGAAGTTTTAATATTGTTTGACACTTTTTCAACATCTTTTTCGTAAACAATATTAAATTTACATCAGCTTTAAAGCGTCTGGTAAAAGTTACTGTTGACGGAAAGTGTCTGGCAGTATTGATTCTTAATTTTTACTTTTGCTCTCTAAAATATACGTCAAAATCAGCACTGAGACTTTAAGAAATGTGAATAATATTTTTACTTACCTTTAGCAGCAGGTACCTGTTAATTGGCTGTCGGTCCAAGCTAGCAGGTACCCTTATACTCAAAATACATACTTACACTACCTAATCCCATACATTTGGTTTCTGAGAAGATAAGTAAAGTCTGGGGGTTCTGGGATCTTGCTCTATAAAATTGTAAAGCTCTTATTAATAAACCCTTTAGTAATACAAGTATGCCGAATCCCCAAATAATGCCAGTAACATATCTGTCAACTGACAGTTGCCTATAAAAGTTACTAAAACACGCACTTTTGACGCGTTTTGTAATGTTATCAGATCACGTATATGGGTATTGCTAAAGACCCTGTATATATTATTTTCGAAACCATATTTATTTAATAATTCTATATAATTAACTTGAATTGCAGAAATACCTGCACTGTTTCATTAAAACCAAGTAGTTTCCAAGAGTATAAAGAAATAAGATACGGTCATAATAACTTCAGGAATACATAAAATTTTAATTTTCTAAAATAAGTTTGACACACCTCAGTATTCTATTGGAGAAGAGAGCTAGTACGGTTTTAATTTTGTAACCACAGACCCTTGTGTTAAAGTCGGGACGAAATTTATGAATTATTTTTAGGGAGAACCCACTTCACCACAACCTTCAGTTGACAGATTATCTGTAACTTTTGCCGATGATTCTCTTAAAAGTGACAGCTCAACAAAGATCAATTATTTTAATCCAGTGACTGTTAAAATGGACGTTGTTAATCCAACAAATACAGGTAATTTGAATATAAAAAAAAGGTTAGTATTCTTAACTTTTTTCTTGCAAATACAAAACACAGAACACTTAGTTTTTATTTTAGCTTGAAATGTTGGTAAACTAGTACGAAGGCGTAAAATATCCACATTGTATTTTTTATTTCTATTTTAAAGTCGATATTTTGACGCAGAAATTCCAACTTTAGTAAAATGTCGACATATCAAGTTATGGCTTCTTACCACAGGCATTTTAAGATATTAAGATATTGAGATATTGAGATATTGAGATATTGAGATATTGAGATATTGAGATATTGAGATATTGAGATATTGAGATATTGAGATATTGAGATATTGAGATATTGAGATATTGAGATATTGAGATATTGAGATATTGAGATATTGAGATATTGAGATATTGAGATATTGAGATATTGAGATATTGAGATATTGAGATATTGAGATATTGAGATATTGAGATATTGAGATATTGAGATATTGAGATATTGAGATATTGAGATATTGAGATATTGAGATATTGAGATATTGAGATATTGAGATATTGAGATATTGAGATATTGAGATATTGAGATATTGAGATATTGAGATATTGAGATATTGAGATATTGAGATATTGAGATATTGAGATATTGAGATATTGAGATATTGAGATATTGAGATATTGAGATATTGAGATATTGAGATATTGAGATATTGAGATATTGAGATATTGAGATATTGAGATATTGAGATATTGAGATATTGAGATATTGAGATATTGAGATATTGAGATATTGAGATATTGAGATATTGAGATATTGAGATATTGAGATATTGAGATATTGAGATATTGAGATATTGAGATATTGAGATATTGAGATATTGAGATATTGAGATATTGAGATATTGAGATATTGAGATATTGAGATATTGAGATATTGAGATATTGAGATATTGAGATATTGAGATATTGAGATATTGAGATATTGAGATATTGAGATATTGAGATATTGAGATATTGAGATATTGAGATATTGAGATATTGAGATATTGAGATATTGAGATATTGAGATATTGAGATATTGAGATATTGAGATATTGAGATATTGAGATATTGAGATATTGAGATATTGAGATATTGAGATATTGAGATATTGAGATATTGAGATATTGAGATATTGAGATATTGAGATATTGAGATATTGAGATATTGAGATATTGAGATATTGAGATATTGAGATATTGAGATATTGAGATATTGAGATATTGAGATATTGAGATATTGAGATATTGAGATATTGAGATATTGAGATATTGAGATATTGAGATATTGAGATATTGAGATATTGAGATATTGAGATATTGAGATATTAAGATATTAAGATATTAAGATAATGAGATATTGAGATATTGAGATATTGAGATATTGAGATATTGAGATATTGAGATATTGAGATATTGAGATATTGAGATATTGAGATATTGAGATATTGAGATATTGAGATATTGAGATATTGAGATATTGAGATATTGAGATATTAAAATATTGAGTTATTCAAGTTTGGCGTGGGATATCGTTTTGTCGAGTAACTCGATCTCGATACGATTCATATTCCTAATCTCTTTTTTTGGACAAAAATCTCAAAAATATGTGGATTTTAAATGAATAATTTTTTTACTTCTGCCTTGTTAATTCATTATTTTAATCTAATTGTCTTAAAAAAATCGATGTTTATACCATCATTAAAATATGGTACTTATAAGTATTAATTGTATATATTCATTAAAAATACAATCGTATAATTTTATACATACCTATTTATTATTATTACAAATAAATAACTATTTTAATTTTAGCTTCCTAATATTACTAAAATTTATTCTTGATTTATGAAGAAAAATAAGAAAATATTTAGATTTAATACTTATGTATCTAGTTGTGCAATTTCTATAATAACTACTGTTAATCTTAGGTTGAAACGTCAGTTTAGGTAAAATATATCGTCCCTTATGTGACTACGAAAAGAGACACGTCGCATGTCTTGCCCGCTCTTTGTAATTTTCAGCAGTGAATGGAATGAATAAGTTGTACTATGTCCGGGCGGTGGGACCAGTCATGTGAAATGTGAAATTCCAAGTAAATTTTCGCACCGGTGGTGCTATTTAAATTTTATTTGCTCTTAATGAAATTAAGGCCTTAAACTGCCTCGGTTTGTTAGTCTGGCGATAAAGCAATAAACAATTGTGTAACTAGATTACTTATTCATCTGAGAGTACAACTTGTTCACTTCCTTTCCCTGCACCCAACTACAAAGATGGGATAAAAAAGTACCGTGTCACTTTTATAGAAATAATTTAAGACAAGTGTAATGAATATGAATAAATGATATCGTAAACCAAGATAGGTCATGTTTCCTACATCCTGTTGCTTTGACATTTTATTTTAATAACTAAGTATAGAAATGGCACTTTGAAATGTTTCAAAGCGATACAGATCTTAACTATGTTTCTTGCCAATTTCATCGAACCTAAAAGATTCGATGTCATTTAAAGGATTGTTTTGCTTATTGTTTTCAAAAATTCATTTTTCATTAAAATCCAAATTGTTGCATATTGATTATAATTTTACTTATTATATTTTATTGATTAACTTTACGAAAGAAACGTTGAATTTTTATCACACGGTCTTACCAAATGAAATGTGTTTTAATTAAATCCTATTTACAGGAATACAATAAATCTTGACATTAAGGTAGGGCCAACACACAAATTTATGCCAAACTTTTAAGGTGTGTAAGTAAGCACTAATACTCGAATAAAAGAATGATCTAAGGAAATAATAAAATATCATATGAAAAGTCAGTTAAAAAGGATGTTTATTTTAAAATAATAATGCTGTATGCATGGCATTGTGTTTCATGCTGCTACTGCATCTGTAAGAAATTAATAGAACAATATTCCCATAATTAAAAAAAAAAAAATTTCAGATGGAGACGACTCAGATCAAGAAGACTATTCGGCCAGTGCTAACGTTATTATACAAAGAAGGGCGTCTATTCGAAAATCTAAAAAAAGAAGTAGACGGGCAAGTTCACCATTCAGTCCAGATATTTTACCGCCGGGTACAGAAAATGGAAGAAGGTCCTCTGTATTTACAACATCTTCAGGAGAGTTAGTATTTTGTAATAATTATTATTATTATTTTGTACTTTTTATGATTTTATGCAGATTAGTTCTGTTTAGGTTGCTTTTTGTACAGAGTATCGAAAACTTACCAGTTTTGACTAATCTTTATATGCAATTTGAAATCTTTATTTTAATGCAGATAGGTCTTTCTAACTTTGAATCATAATAAAATAAATGTAAGCTTACTAAATGTGTAAAAATCATGAAATAAGAATTTTTGTAAATATGAATCTCTTGTCTCAGCAGGGCTGCATTTTCAGGGCCTGCGTCAACACTTTAAACAAACGATCGAACTCGTCAATTTTAATTAAATATGGAAATTACCTCCTCCTTTACTATAACCAATGCAATGGACTATACGAGTAAAATTTTTTTATCGCCAACCGTCAATAAAGCCATGCATTATTATAGCGATTTGCGGAAATAAACGCAAACACTTTATCTCACTGTAAAAATCAAATATTTGATCTGCCGCTAATATTTATCAAAATAGCCATGACCATCTGACAGAAATAGCATGTAACTAATTTGTTTTGTATTCACTGTTATTTACTTTGTCATAGCAAAATGTGATGTTACAGACATGGTATAAAGAAATAAAAGGTAGGATATCAACAGTGTCAAAAATAGGACAGCAACGCGCATGACGTCACGTGTAAAGTTGAAATAGGTGCGACTTTAAAAATACTGACGAGCTGTGAGGAAGGACCTAAGCTACTTAAAGAAATTTTATGAAAAATCAAAAGATAACACTGCACAACAGCATTTCTGATGATTGAGTTATATTACATGACACCAGCTTAATTTTTAATGAAGACTTCAAATCTGTGATCTAAATTTCTGTATTAGCTCTAGTTTAGAAAATATGACCCATGGCCGTTTCATAGTAAAACACAATTTGTTGAAAGTTAATTATATTTTATTTAGTTCTAAAGGTAAAAAACACTTTCTTTTATAAGACTTCCTTGCAAATGTTGAACCCATAGAACTGTTCTAAATGCTCCAACAATAGTCAGCCACCATGTATGCGTTCCAGTAGCCGTGATACCGTTCCTCCATCGTACGAAGGTCCTGGTGAAATCACTCGGCCTGTTCTTCATTATTTAGATCCCCAATATTAGCAGAAAAATAATCTAGGTGGTTGTGAAGAAAGTGCAACTTGATGCTTATGTTACATCCAAGGGTTTAAAAGTGACTTATTAGTTGTTCAACGTGTTGGGAATAGTTAAAACTTTTCTTATTTCCCAAAAAATTTTGAACAAGCTAAACAAACTCATTCCATTCGTTTTTCTCAATTTCTGTCAGAGTGTTCGTGAATTTTGTCTTTTAATAATGATCTTATCTGTAGCCCATCGAAAATGCTCGCTTTAATCTTTTCTACACTCAGTTTCGGGAATTTTTTTATTAAAAATAGAAAACAATTTTCAGTTTTGTTAAGACCTTTGACAAACTGTTTTATAAGCCCTAATTTTATATGCAACGGAGGCAAACTTATACGATATCTTGACACTAAAGATGGGTTTATCACGTTTTGTTGTCCTGGAACTAGATATTTTCGAGTAGGCCAATCTTTTTTAACCCAATGTTGATTTTTATCTCTACTATCCCACAAGCAAAGAAAACAAGGATACTTTGTGTAACCACCTTGCTGGCCTAATAGAAAGTTGACCATTTTTAAATCAACATATATGATCCAGTTACTTTCCACATATTTAATTTTATCCAAAACCAGAGCAATAGTTGTATATTATTCTTTTATTTTTGTAGAATGTGCAATATGCAATGACCCTAATTTATTCCCATTGACAAGTCTATGAATATATGCCACTCACTAGAAACATAATTTCGTAATCCCATTGCAGCCATCAATCCAGGTACATCTTTACAAAATACGAAATTGTCTTCTTCAGCAAAATATTTGAGGAAATTCTGTTCTCTTGTGCGGTAATAAGAAATTTTAGTTTCTTTCGTTAGTAATTTTCTTTCTTTTAGCCTTTATTGTTATAATACAAGTATAAAGAGAGATTCAAGAATATATATGGCATTGCCTCATTCTTTAATTTTCGCCTTCCACTTTTTATTTTGCTAACAGTACCTATCATCAGTAAAAAGAATATTTGGAAATATCTTTTGAAAAGTATAGCTTGCAAACCGAAACATTTCTGAAGCTGACTTTGACAGTCCCAGATCTCTAATTAAGTTGTTTAAATCATCTTGATTGAATGGTTTTGGCGTTCCCAGGTTTCGTCTTAAAATCTTCTGGCTCTTCCTGTAAAGTACCGGATTGAGGTTCAAGTGTAGACTTAGGGCTCAGCACACGTACTGGAATGATATTCCCATTTGGCTCGATTTTTTCAGTTAATACCAGTTATGTTTACCAAACAAAAATAACAATCGTCATGGTGGTTAATGGGTTCATTCCAAATCATAGCGATTTTGTACCTGAAGCTATATCTTTTCTTATTTATCCATAAAAGTAGGAACTCAACGCATGTTTTGCATACCTTTTGCGGAATCTAAGGCTTATTCTTTATTTCCAGCGGGTGCCCAAAGTAATTTTTGTAAGCCTTATTTACGAACGTTGTCACATTTAAACGGTATTCTTTAAATACATACTCTCCGCAAATAAAACAAAAATTGTTTGAATCATTCACAAATACTCTTCTTGACGATGCCACATCAAATTACAAAATAAAACAATAATTCAAACAAGAAAGATAATTTCACTATTGTCTCACTAAATCTTCCCCTAAAATAACAAAAGATCATTTCTTAAGAATTCTGAAATTGGGTTTTACCGGTCATTAAAGAGAGGTACTTTTACCTTTATAAATATGTTCTAAGAAACTAAAGGGGGTGTTCGGGGTCGTACAACAGAGGGGTCGTTAAAGAGGGTTATAAATTAATGGTATTTCCAAATAAATTAAAATAATTGCTGATCCATCATATCTATTCCACCCATGCAGCAATTGTACTCAGCAATTAGTCGGGGTTGCGATACTTGAACGATTATTTTTTCAGCCTGAGAGTAACGCTTCACCTGAATGGTTGGGTTGATTCCATGACATGTAGACGCCACTGTCACTACGTTATTGTCCATCCATTTTACCAGAATAATTCCATCATCTTTGTCAATATTTAAAACCATGTCTCCCCGTTTCTTAATTTTGGCAATTTGTTTATTTTGCGGTAATTTACAACTTTTTGGTACTCTGTTTTCTCTCATCGTTCCCGTGCCTTCGTAACCCTTTTGTTTCAGGTTGAAAAGTAAATTGAAATTTGTGAAAAGATTGTCAAAGTAGAAATTGAAGGGAAGCGTCTTCATGTGTTCGGGAAACTCATCAATCATGCACATCAAAGGAGCAGCACATTTTCCAAAATTATTTTCATAAACCGTGTTTGCCCTTGGATTTTTCCCCTGTACATATTGAAGTAACCGGTCGCAGAATTGAGGCACCACATCTTGTTCTCAAACCTTATGGGCTTGCCTCGTATAAATTGTTTGCACGAATGTTTCTCAAAATACTTGATCATGAATTCGTCGTAGTCCAGGTCTTGTTCTGGAATCCAATTGTCAATAAATTTAGATTTAAGCAAATCCATTAACGGCATTAGCTTCCACATTTTGTCCTGAAAGTTGGGCTGCAAATTATCAGCACAGTGCAAATTTCTTTTGATTTGGCGAAATCTGTCCCTTCTCATAGACTCACTGACGATAGAGTTTTTATGTCCATCTTAGAATCTCAGTAGAAATCTCGTCCGGGCAACTCATTATTCGCATTCGATTTTTTGTTTTTCGATTTTTTGATTTTTCGACTTTTCGATTTTTTGATTTTTCGATTTTTCGATTTTTCGATTTTTTGATTTTTCGATTTTTCGATTTTTTGATTTTTCGATTTTTCGATTTTTCGATTTTTCGATTTTCGATTTTCGATTTTCGATTTTTTCGATTTTTCGATTTTTCGATTTTTCGATTTTTCGATTTTTCGATTTTTCGATTTTTCGATTTTTCGATTTTTCGATTTTTCGATTTTTCGATTTTTCGATTTTTCGATTTTTCGATTTTTCGATTTTTCGATTTTTCGATTTTTCGATTTTTCGATTTTTCGATTTTTCGATTTTTCGATTTTTCGATTTTTCGATTTTTCGATTTTTCGATTTTTCGATTTTTCGATTTTTCGATTTTTCGATTTTTCGATTTTTCGATTTTTCGATTTTTCGATTTTTCGATTTTTCGATTTTTCGATTTTTCGATTTTTCGATTTTTCGATTTTTCGATTTTTCGATTTTTCGATTTTTCGATTTTTCGATTTTTCGATTTTTCGATTTTTCGATTTTTCGATTTTTCGATTTTTCGATTTTTCGATTTTTCGATTTTTCGATTTTTCGATTTTTCGATTTTTCGATTTTTCGATTTTTCGATTTTTCGATTTTTCGATTTTTCGATTTTTCGATTTTTCGATTTTTCGATTTTTCGATTTTTCGATTTTTCGATTTTTCGATTTTTCGATTTTTCGATTTTTCGATTTTTCGATTTTTCGATTTTTCGATTTTTCGATTTTTTTATTTTTTTATTTTTCGATTTTTCGATTTTTCGATTTTTCGATTTTTTGATTTTTCGATTTTTCGATTTTTCGATTTTTCGATTTTTCGATTTTTCGATTTTTCGATTTTTCGATTTTTCGATTTTTCGATTTTTCGATTTTTCGATTTTTCAATTTTTCGATTTTTCGATTTTCGATTTTTTTCGATTTTTTTCGATTTTTTTCGATTTTTTTCGATTTTTCGATTTTTCGATTTTTCGATTTTTCGATTTTTCGATTTTTCGATTTTTCGATTTTTCGATTTTTCGATTTTTCGATTTTTCGATTTTTCGATTTTTCGATTTTTCGATTTTTCGATTTTTCGATTTTTCGATTTTTCGATTTTTCGATTTTTCGATTTTTCGATTTTTCGATTTTTCGATTTTTCGATTTTTCGATTTTTCGATTTTTCGATTTTTCGATTTTTCGATTTTTCGATTTTTCGATTTTTCGATTTTTCGATTTTTCGATTTTTCGATTTTTCGATTTTTCGATTTTTCGATTTTTCGATTTTTCGATTTTTCGATTTTTCGATTTTTCGATTTTTCGATTTTTCGATTTTTCGATTTTTCGATTTTTCGAT